AGGCGAACGCAAGCCCGCCAGGCAGCGAGCAAGCAAGTAAGCAGGCAGGTCGGCAGGCAGGCGGATGTTCTGTTCATGGAGCAGAGAGGCCTTCCCTGCTCTCCATAGCTCCGAATACCATCTTGCACTATCTTTGTTTGGCCTTTGACGAGCACTCACAGTTGTGTACATTCATTCATTCGTTCGTTCGTTCATCCATTGGTTCCCTCCCGCCCGTTCGGTCGTCGATTCGTTCGTCCGTTTGTGCGCTCAACCGTTCTGGGCAGCTCGGCCGTCGGACGCAGCCTGGTCGATGTAGTCCACTAGTGAGAAGCCAACCGAACCAAACGAGTGCCTGTGCCGACGCTTGTTGTTGTCGTTGCTGTAGGAGTAGCGAAATATACACATGCGGAGATCTTCGCCACAAATACACCGAAGTACCAGCAGCAGGAAGTCAGCAAAAGCAGCAGCGTAACCAACAACACCTGACGGTTCCAAACTATCTCGACGACAACGACCGATCAGAAGTGCTCCGTGCCGCATCTCAGCTTGTGCTCTGCGTGTCCAAGATTGAGCAAATCCCCACGAACCGAGTGAATAACGCGTTCCGAGATCGAGGAACAACATCCCGTCCAGGAGCGACGACAACTGCAGCAGCAGCATTGTTCGTTCAGCGAGCCGTGGAGTCAGTGGTTCGGATGTGATCGGATACGCTGGGTGTGAAATTGTTGTGTGAGGTGAAACAACCAAAACAACTGAGGATACTGGTGCGGAGATCTATCGGTGTCGTCGACGCCCGCGAGGGCTCCCGACCGAAGCCCGTGCGACGTCGTTTGCCGCTATTCCGGAAAAAAAAGGAGCGAGTTGCTTGCCGTCGGATTACTTCTCGGGTGTGAGCGCTGCCGCCACGCATGACTTTCTGAGCGAGAGCTCGATGACGACGACGCCGCCGCTTGGGACACCTTCACTCAGTAAGACGGCGACGATGATGGAAAACTTTGTTCCCGAATCCCGATCGCCGACCACCCAATCCGCGATCGGCTGACTGTTTATTTCTTCGTCTCCCACGCAGTTTTTACTACTGTTGACGTTGTTGTCGTCGACGTCGTCGTCGTCGGTGCTGTGGCGGCGACGGCGGAAGTTATGGTGGTCTCTCGCGCCGGAGTCAGTCCGATTCCTCAGGTCAATGGAACTTTGCCCTGAAACTGTTGCTTGTTGATCGAGAACGGACCGGAAAGTAGAAATTCCCGGGGAAGCGAGAAAGCGAGACGCCGTTCGACTCCGTGTGGACAAAAGGGACGGAGAGGAGGAAAAGCTAAAGGTCGTCGGGGAAAACGAAGGACTTCCCAACTCGTCGTCCCAAATTCAAAAATAGCTGAGGCACGCGCAGCAGCGAGAGCAATCCACACTTCGCAACGATGCTCTTCGTAACGGAATTCCATTTAGAGCTGGCGACGTGTGCGCTAACGACAGGATAGCGGCACGATTTGCTGTCGGGGGCGGTTGGCCAAGTTGACTGACCCGCGTCCGTATATAAGCATCATCACATAGGAACAGAAACAATAGGAGCCGTCGCAAACTCGATTCGAGTCACAGCACGCAACTCCAGCTGCCTTCGGTTGATGTTCGTTGACGTGTGTCCCCTTTAGCTTACCGCTATTCTAACGAGTTGGGGGCTTCCGAAGAAACTACGACGACAGGAACGAAGACCACGATGGCATCATCCACGACCAATACGACGAGAGCCAAGCGGAGCTAGAGCTCGAGCTCGTCAAACGGGAAGAGCTGCTGGTACTACAACGACGAAAGCAACAACAACAACTACTACTATTGCAGCAGCAGCAGCAACAACCATAGCAACAATCGAACACTTAGGGCCGCGATTCAATCACAAGTAGTTCGGACGAGAGAGACAGAATTCGAGCTGGAATTTTACAACAGCCACAACAACACCGCCGCCACCGCTTCGAAACATCGACGATCCGCTTAAGAGCGTCAGGCCACTTCCGACAAGTGGACCAGTCAGCCAATCAAGCGAGTCAGAGAGAATTTCTCCGAGGAGAAATTCAAAATCGATTTAGCGCATCTTATTTCAACTGAGCCTCATCGGTTCATACATCGCCGTGAGCTAGTGATCACCTTATCACAATGTGAGTACGAAGACGACGACAGACCCTTTCGTATTATTTTCAATACGCTCGACCGCCCAAGGACCTGGCTCCGATCCAAAGGCCGGAGAGAGCTTTGCGCCTTTTGTTCGCGGCCATTCGGAATTTTCCAGAGACCCTCGAGCCTGCGAGAGCTTGATGACTCACTCGTCAGAGGGAACACGGAAGACAGTCCCTATCGTGGATCAGTAATTATTTCCCGCGGAATTATTTTACCATCAGGTATCTAGGTATCTGCCTGCCTTGTCGATGTGGCTCTGTCTGAATTCGCTCAAGGAAAATTACTCGCTCGAATTTCGCGAGAAAAACCGTAGCTTCGGCCGACGTCGGCGAGGGCTCCACCGACCTATCCGAGAATAGACCGGCAACTTGAGCTCTCGGCACCTCGCTTCGGATGATGAGGGAGTGCTCAGAAAAAACAGAAATCCAGGGTCTCGGATAGGATTAGACAAGAAATTGATTCGGAAGGATTAGGTAATTGCGGATTGTACATACATGTGTACGTAAACCCTAAATCGGCTTCCACGCGGGGGAAAAAAGAAGGAAAATATCCGGCGAATTTCAGTTCCCGGAAGGCTCTGAACGCACGGCAATTGATCACGATTCCGATCAATAAGCTTGATGCAGACTCTTTTGCTCGGGCTTAAGATTCAAACTCGGGGGAAGGGGAACAACAAGCGGCTGTAACGCCGAGCGAGCGGAATCGACTCGATGAAGCTACTTGTTACTCTCTGGGAACCCACAGACGGTAAATTTAGTAGGCTGTTCCGCTCCAGCTCTCTGGATGTAGGTTGGCTATCGTTAGGTCGCTGTCGCTTCTGTTGCCTCCAGTGTTGCCAGCGAACTGACTGATCCGTGGCCAGGCGATGAACTCCCAGCATTGGAAGCGTGCGGGCAGACGGCGACGACCCTCTCGTGTGGGTAAACGAGAGCATCGGCGAGTTCCGATCTGGAGCATCGCTCGAGACAGATTCGATGGAGGAACGCTCGACGGAGACATACTTCAAGACTCGAGTCGATACACAGCTCCCGATAAATCTCTCAAAGGCCAACCACCCATTCGCTTCGTCGTAGAAGCCGCCATCCGATAGGAATACCGAGCTTGCGCAGGTTGTCGTCCGTGTGTACGCGCTCCGGTAGCATTTGCTCATTCCTATCATTAAGGTCGTTTTGAATGGGGCGAACTGGGGAGCAGAGACAGGCGAATGGCGGGGAGACGTTGAACGTGGACCACGACTTTCAAATCGATTTTTGAACACGATCGATTCGATTTGCCATAGTTTCTCAATTCTAAACGTCTTCGGAGCTGTTCATGGGCACTGCCTCATTCAAGCTTCGGTAGTGAGATAATAAATAGAAGAGCGAACGACATCGAAGGGCGGGTATCCGAATACGGTGGGCTGGAATAGGCATATACGTTAATTTCAGAGGAAAAACGCATCCGAAGTCAAAGCTCAAACCAGCAGAGAGATTGCAGAAAAAAATAAGGTCGAACACGACGGTGGGAGAGAAAAAAACGCCCGAGACAGAGAGCCCAGCGCCATCAGACCATTGTTAATGGCTCCACCGAGCCGTTCTGTTGCTTCAGCCATCCGAAGGACAGGACTGTGTTCCTTCGCTTAGCGCCCGAATGTTTCTTCGTTAAACTGTCTCCCGCATTATCGATCCGCAGACCTGATGAACAAACAGCTGACAGTGTTTCGTCACGCTCTTCCCCGAGCGGCCTGAAACGTGTTCTGCGAAATCTGGTGGGCTGAAGCGGAGTCTGGAACAGGTTCCCTCCACAAATTGTCAGAGCGCAACTTCCTCTGACGGAAACTCGGCCGAAACTCGGAAACTCGGGACATAGGTTTTCCAGCGACGTTTCACATCTGACAGTCGTAAATATAGCTTGCGTAGACGGATTCGAATAAGTGAGGCGGCGTTCCGGGCCATCACAGTCCGCTTTTTCCCACCAACGGTACGCGAACCATTCCGTCTCCGCTCGCGGATTGACTCACTCAGTATGAGATTGTTGTCGGACAGCGTTCCTTCATCGGAAACTGCCTTGATTGGATTCCTGGTGAGGTCCACTATCGTCACCATTCCCGGTCTGTGCTTCCGAAGGTATCGAAAGCTCTACGAGACAAGTTACGACAGGGAGAAAGTATGCGGGCTATCGGAGAGTGCTAATGCCATACGGGTCGTACGTCTGGCTTCCGCTCGTGGAGGTCTTCGGTGAGGCAGAGCCAGCACGATACGATTCAGTTGTAGCTCGACCATTATGCTGTTACTTCGTCTGACGGCGAAACAGAGGCAATTATCGGAACGACGTCGAATTATCGATGGAGTGGCCAGACGATCGACAGAGTATGTCGAAATGAAATACACTGTTCTTACGTATTGTGGGACCACCTGACATGGGGAATTGCCACCGGATTGTGAAATCTCCATCATACTAATTAAAGCACTCGGTCAGTCAGTCAGTAATCAGGATAGACAAGCTTCCTCTACCTACGAGAACTCGTTTCTGAACGAGGAGAATACGATGATCAGACAAGAGAGTGTAATGGGACGAATTCAGACATTAGTCAACGTAAGAGGTCGCGTAACAACCGAGAGCCGGTCGTGACCTTTTCCTCTCCTGCCTTGATTCCCGACGAGTGCATTCTTGATTTTTAGCCGCGTAGGCCGCGACGGACTCGGCGAGTCGTCCCGGAGATCCGGGAATCAGAGTGGTGTTCAACTAATTCGTCTGGTTTCTCTCTTTTCAGTGTATGAACTGGTGTTGAAGCAGAAACTCCCGTTAGAGCTGGCGGGAGCGTAGATTTGGATTGATTTCGCTTCAGAAGCAGACGAGAGGAGGCGCTCAGCATGTTGGAGCCATCATCGTCGGAAGACGAGGGTGGAGATGAGGGAACCGTCGAAGATGTCTCCGAGCCGCCGACGGTAAGCCCCAATAAGTTCCTGAGATACCATACGTCCTATCTATCCACTCCGTGTTAGCTTTGCGGCTCCTTTCCTGAAGATCTCTCCGGAGTTCACTCTGCGACGATTTTCTCCTACGCCATGTTTCACATGGGTCTCGCGCCGAAACGGGTTGTAATACCTCGTCAACCCAGAGGGTCTGTCGTGATGTCAGTGATGTTGATCCATCCGGAATCGGCTGTATTGAGGCTCAGCTCCTGAGCACACACCTCCACCTCGACGGTTGACCCTCCCCGACGTGACGATATTGATGGATGTCACGACCGGCTGCTAAGAATCCTGATCCGCGAAGGAAGCTGCATGAGAGATATCGTGATTTGCCAGGAGAATATCCGATACCTGTAATATGCTATTAATGGGGTCCATAGTCCATAGGATTTCTCGGCTTCCTGGTGTGTCCTTCGGGTTTCCATCTTCCGCCCGAGTGCTCACTGCGGTCTTTATGCCGTGCGGGCGGCTGAAGGTTCCTCGCGGCTAGGCCCCACCCAGGCGGCGCATAAGAAGCTTCCCTGACGTCTAGTCCTAGGCGCATTCAATATTGCCGCTCCTTGAAGCGTTTGTGTTGTATCGGCTCCGCGCCCGTAATTCCATCCTGAAGTCTCTTCCGGGGATTTTTCCTTTTGATCAGAGAGCATTCCGCCAATATTTCGGGCGCGGCTCTCGACTTCAGCGTGTAGGCCATAAGAGCAACGCTCTCGGCTTATCCCATCGCTCGCCTCCCATCTCTAAATCTCTGAGATTTTCGCCGCCTCTCCCGTCTTTCTGTCCTATAGCTGCTGACTCCGACGAATGAGCGTTCACAAGATCCGATGTTATTCGGGCCGAGAATATTCATGCGGACAGAAATGACTCATGGACCTTCACGGCCTCGCCATGTTCCGCCGAGACGATCACGACTTAGACATGTTTTCGGAACGTGCTCCCCTCGGGATCTGCTGGATTTTCGCCATTTGCCCGAATGTTTTCGGGAAGTTTTTCCTCTGACAGACGCTCGAACCCGGATTCCTTGCGCCTTAGCCTCGCCTGGCATGACTCCGAGACATGGGCACAAACAACTCAAGCGACGACTGAGGAATTACGCCGCCGCACATCACGGACATCACCCGCGGGACGACGGGTGTCGTAGTCCGTCGATGCGTCGGCGTCGTCCGTCTGTGCTGACGGTTCCCTCCGAGCGAAGGTTCCGATCATTACGTCTCTCTCGCCGATGCCCGCCGCGCGAATGCCGGCAGTCCCGGTCGCGGACCCCTTGAAAATGAGTCCACTGGAAGGTCGTGCTGTAATGAGCCTTTTAATTTTAACAGGTCCGGGTGTCATCTTCGGTGACTACGCTAGAGTTCCCATCTTCGGGCATCACGACCCGTTCAATATCGCCGGCTGCGACAGACTCAATATCGTCGGTGTCGTGCGCCAGCGGGTTGCCCGCAGTTCCGCAGCAGAGATCCAACAGCCTGAGGCCCACAAGCCCCGCACCCGTCACGCTGCTTCAAGAACAAGCCAAGGTTGCTCAGCAACAGCCCCCTCCACCGGGGGGGCAGGCGTTACCTGTCGAAGAAACCGATCTCGCTCCGCAGAACGAAGAAGAGGTAAGAAACGGCGCCTAGCGAACGCAGCGACAAGATCGTGCCGCAACGGCGGACAACGAGATTAACGGATCGAGATAAATCTGCAGGAACGCCGCAAGAGGCTACAGCTGTACGTTTTCATCCTGCGATGCGTCGCATACCCGTTCAACGCGAAGCAGAACACAGATATGGCGCGACGGCAGATGCGAATAACGAAAGAACAACTCGAAACTCTACAGAAGCGATTTCACGCGTTCCTCAAAGGCGAAACCACCATCGCTGCCGACGAAGCATTCCAAAATGCCGTACAAAGCTATACTGAGGTGAGTAGCGCTCTATTGATCGCCTGATCGATTCACAATCTGAATCGAGTCGCTCGCGCATTCGATGAGCTTAATTTAGGTAATTCCTGTTGTATATCTGATGTCCGGACAAGATGGTCGTTTAGAGCGAGAGGGAGCACGATGGATCTGCAGTCGGAGCTCTCGCGGTTCCTCAGTGCCGCGCGGGATGGTCACTTCGGGACGACAAATTTCCTCGCGGAATACGCGAGGGAATTCCCGGAGCCCGACCGACGTTCGCAGGAACGTTCATGGATCCGAGGAATGCCGGACGTACTCTCGTGACTCGCTGGAAAGAATTTCCGTATCCAATTAACGAAAAAACCCTCACAATCCGTCGCTCGAATCCGGGGAATTGAGGGAAAGTGTTTGGGACGGAGAGAAGAAGTTCGAGGGCAGCCGAGCAGAAAATCTTCCTGCACGAGTCGTCATCGATCAGAGGAGTTATTTGAGAGAGCACACGGATGTCCGAAAACTGCTCGGCCGCGTTCAACATTCGAAACCCGCCAGCCAGACCGTCGATTGAGTTCTGTGGAACGTCGGCACATCGAATCGTCGTCCCTTGTCCCTCGGAGCGGAGTCGTCCTCGCGCGGTTCATAGGTTCATGTACACTGCTGTCGATTCGACGAGTTCCGCCTGCCGAAGAGCACTTCTGTCTCTGCGACCGTTTTTCGGGAAGACTCGTACAGCGCATCCACGCCACCTGTTGCACTGACGCGACGGGTGCGACTGCATCCGAAACCGCTAAGCGTGCTTGTTTTCTCTAATCCGTCTCTGGCTCTCGCGCAGCTGAGTCCATCGAGATTCCTCTGGTTGGTGGGTTAGTTCTTTTTTCTCCATCTGATCGAAACCCTCCTTCTCCGCAAGCCTGATTGGCATGCCGGCCGGGTCGAGTCTCGGCCAAGGATTCATCTCCGGCTTGACGGCGATAAGAACTCATCTCACGGAAGGAAGGCGGCTTGTGCTTTCGGTGAAAAATTGTCTCCTTCAGCAATCCCATTCACTTACGAGCTCGAAAGTGGCGGCAAGGACGCGGCGTCGACGCGGAGATATCTGGCCTTGTGTCGGCTCGCCTCTCGTCTTTCCTTTATCTCGCTCGAATACGGTCGTCAGCAATATAAACTCCTGCGTGGAGGCGCTACCCCACAAACAGATCCAGCGGCATGGCTTGCGGCAAACGTCGAAATGCCCGAATGCGCTCTTCTTTTTCCAACGGTTTTTTCCCCCGACTACTTGCGATATTTCCGAGACGATGTTCTGAGTTGCGGCTATTCGATCTAGTAGCGTATCTAATGAGTAATCGTTAAACCCATTCAGGGTTTATAGCCGGAGCTCGGAGCGAACGGTGTCAGAACCCCGAGCAGTCACTCCGGAGGCCTTCGTCCGGCCATGATGTTCTCCGTCTTCGGCCTTCTTTCGGAGGAAACGATTGCTTGTGACCTCTGAACCCGACCTAACGTACCGTGATGTATTGTTTCAGGTGTTTCTCAAAAGTGACAGAGTTGCGATGATGGTTGTTAGTGGGGCCTGCTCTCAGCATGACTTCAGAGAAGTTTTTCGAAATAACATCGAGAAAAGAGTTAGATCGCTTCCTGAAATCGACGGCCTTAGCAAAGAAACGGTAAGACCTCGTTTCACTCGATCGTAATCACAATCGACTGTGTGACTCAAATGTCAGCCGGCTCGTTAGCTCTTCCGTTTGTTACCTTGTTGTCGTGAACTGGAGAGCTTGGCCGCTCAGCTCCGACAGCAGAGTCTATCGGATTCCTCTCGACTGATTGCGTCGCCTCCGCGATTCAGCGACCGGCTCTTCCGTACAGCTTGACTGAGCCGTTCGGATCCGCTCGGATCGGGCGCTCCTGCAGATCAGTCAAGGGATTCAGGCTCGGCTCAGTCGGAGCAGGCCGCAACTTAGACACGAACGCATTCAGTCATTCAGTCAGTCTGTGAGTCAATCTTCTCCAAAGTCGAGAGACTAGGAATGCCTCTCGAAGCCTCGTGATTCGTTCTCGCGAACCTTCGGATGGGTCCTTGAGGGGAGAACCGTCGTCCGATCTCCAGCCGGAAGGTGGAGAGAAAGATTGAGCGAGTTTTCCTGCTCCCATGAGCTCGACCAATTCAAGGCGACGTCGGTCGGTGCCGCCGTCGTCACTCAAGCAACGAGTGGACGACGGGCAAATTTTTTTCCGGTGATGAATGTTTAAAAGCGCAGCCGACGATGGCCTGGAGCGTCGTGCGCGAGTCGCACCTCTCCTTCTTGCTCCCGTCGCTCGTCCGCTCTTTATTTGTCTCGGAGCCCTCTTCTCTCTCTGCTCGTTCTCGCAGTGCTCTTCTCCCAAACTCCCAATGTTCCTGCTTCCAATCCCGTGGATTTTGTCACTATCACTCTCTGTCACTTAGCCCGTCTCTTCACTTCTGCCCCTAGTCTCAATCCCCTGGCCCTCATCGCCTCTAGTTTTTCTATCACTCACTTCCGCCGTCTTCACTTGGCTAAGGCCCGAGAATTCCTCCTGCTCCCTATTCGTATTTCTGAGCGCACTTCCGTCGCCGCCGCAAACTTCAAACCGAATTAGAGGCGCTGCCTCCGGAAACTTTTTCTCGATCGTTCCTTCTTTCCCCTCCCGGACACGGAAACTGCGCGACGTTCGAGAGAGTGCGTCGGGAAGGAGACAAACAAGAGGGCAGAATGGACGCTCGAATTTATTGACCCCCGACGCGAAGAGTTAGGCTCAGAGTTTTCGATCCGAACGCAACAACTGATTATATGGAGGAAATCCTCGAGAACGTATGCCGGACCGGAACAGCCTATTCGAACGTCCGCGGAACAGAAACGCGGGAACGCTCGGAATAGTCTTGTCGAAATCATTACTGAAGTATCCACGGAGTGCAAGCGAGGGCATCGTGTGCATTTTTCGCCGCTAATAAGCCGAGCTTACCGTTTGTGCGTTTCGTAGAGAGAAAATCCGAAGTGTAAGCCTCGTTCACGCTCGTACGGGACTTTCGAAGCGGATATGCCGAATAATCGGTGATCCAACTAGGCGTGTGCCATTAGCGGTCGAGCTGCGGCATATTCTCACGGAGTTTTACTCATCCCTGCCCGTCCTTCGTCTTCCCGAGATCTGATCCCGACAGATCGATTCTTTCGGAGCAATGCTTTCCATTTTGAATACCCTTGTCGTGGAGAGGGCACCGATTTCTATTTCTTGATCTAAATTGTATGTTGCTCCCGTTTCCGGAGCATGCGATTCCGAAAGGCGCATTGAAATGCAACACGTTCATTTCAGGTCTTGACCTCATGGATGACGAAATTCGACGCCATTTTTCGAGGTGATGAAGACGCTCGAAAAACACAAAGCCGACTGCAGCAGCAGAATTTGGTCTCCGAGATGGTTCTCAGCAAGGAGCAGCTCTACGATATGTTCCAGAACATTTTGAATATTAAGAAGTTCGAGCATCAACTTTTGTACAACGCTTTACAAGTGAGATTCTTCCCTACGCAATTAGGGGTATCCTTGACCCGGGGACTTGCTAATTCTGAATTAATTCGCTCGTTCTAATTTATTCATGCGGTCAGCAAAGCGTTTGCGGCGTACTTTCCAAAGATAGTCAACCTATCAGGTCCGTGTCGGCACCGAGAAGACAATTGGATGCGCTGGTCTCGTCAGATATTTTGGAAACATGACGGCTGTCAATGGATTCGACTCGTTCGACTGCAACGATGAATTAAACTGTCGAGAGCATCGGGCGTACGGCTCTGTCGGATACGTGGCTCCTGCATCAGAGCCGGCCATGCAGTTAGTCCGCTGACCAGCGCCGCAGAAATTCCCTGGGGGACGATCCAGTCCGGGGAGCCGCCGCATTAGAGGAGAAAAAAAATCTGCTGATCAAGTTCGAGTAGATGTTGTCAAGCATTCATGGAACGCGAGCCCCGTCCGGCGGGCGACTTCCGCGTTCGTTCATCGCCAGGAGACTTGTGTTTTCTTCGGTGCAACGTTGCCCAACCCTTCGCCACTCAACATAGTGGAATGAGATGTCCGATTTCTCTAGCGCGGATCCATAATAGAACGCAATCAACTTGAATCTGTCTTTCCATATTCACAGCTCGACTCAGCGGACGAACAGGCCGCTGCTATAAGACGCGAACTCGATGGCCGGGTTCAGAAAATCAACGAAATGGAGAAGGTGAGTGTCTGATCAGACGCAATACAGACGCAGGCCCAGAGGTTCCCTTTGTTTCGACTGCGACGATCAATGACGAGAAGGCAACGCATAGGTGCGCGAACCCTTCAGAGTCGTATCCGGAATCAGGAGCGATCCGAATCCTAGTCGAGGCGACGGAGTAGACTGTCTCCACCGACGACAATTATCACTAATGACGGGCGTAATTACTGTCATAGCTTTTTGCGCCGAACTCCGGAGGGTCAAAACTGGGAAAGCGGGGGAGGGGGGATGGGGTATGGGTCCTTTCATTTCAACGTTCCTTCGTTTGCCCGTGTGTGAAGAACAAAGAATTCTGGAGGGGACGTCGTCCGGACAAAAGAGAGGGAACCAGTCACAATCACCTTGAGAGACGTGTTCCTGCTGCACGGAGCACTCACTTAATTCAATGATCAGACAGAGTCGGCAGCGCAACGACTTTCGAGCGATGTTTTGCTTCTATGACATGCCGGCTGCCTTTACCTAGCTACCGGTCTGGCGTTCTGCTTGCCGTCTGCACACTTGTTAATGACCCTCGTCAAGGTCGTTTTGCGACTTCTGAGCCAGCAGACCATACCGAACAAACCGAGGCTCTTCGCGCAACAGGGAAACGTCAGACGTTAGGCTGAACGGATTGTATTTGAGCAGAAAATTTTCCTCCAAGATCGAGTCCAGCTTATCAGAGTTTTCTCCTTTTTTTTTCAGAATCGGAAGCTCCTACCGAAATTTGTTGTCAAAGAAATGGAATTACTTTTTGTTGAAGAAATGCGATCGTCGATCAACTTGCTGATGGCCAACCTCGAAGGTTTGCCCGTCACAAAGGGCAGTGCGGACTCGAAGTACGGTCTGCAGAAGCTTAGGCGCTACAACCATAGGTGAGTCCTTGCACGATGACTTCCTGTTCGCTCGACGACTCGGCCCGGTGAATAGACCACGGTAGTCTCGAGAGCTCCGCGGGGCCGGATTACCGCGCCCTGCCACCGCACTCTTTGCTCTTTCGTCTGTCTTATAGTATTGGTAACGAGGCTCGAGCTGCCCGGTGATACTCCACAGAAAAATCATGCTTTCACTGTTTTTTCGGGACACCCAACTGCGACTCCACGAATACTTGCGTGAGATCAACGAAATCATGAATCCACACGCCCTAGAGGAAACATTAATGTCCGTGGTCGCCGCTGCATGGTTCACGGCGAAGATTCCATTCGGGAATCCAGTCATCAAGAAAAATGAGGCAGGCGGGATCTACTTAATAAGAGGAGCATGCAGCAGCTGAAAAAGTGTTTTCGCGAGTTAGGTCAAGGCTACGCAAAGCATGGTTCCGCGGCAGAAGCTCCGGAGGACGGATGCTCTGATATGTTTAGGAAGGTGGGATTATTGCAAATCCTGTTCTCGAAACAACGTTCATCCGCTTTGACCACAGCCCAAAGAGCCCACCGCGCCGCAAGGTCCCCTACTCGCGGCTGCCGTCGACTTTCCCACGTATTGAGCGCTCCCCGCAAGTTTCGGCAGCCTCTCGCCGACAAAGTTCCGACCCCGAAAAACTTTGGCAGCTTCACCGAGCCATTCGGTCGTGCGCTTCCGTTTGCTCAGTCGTCGTCCCACCTTTGGCCCTTCAAGAGGACGATGCTGCTGCTAGTATCAGACTCGCTAGCTAGGGAGCTGGCTTACCGACAGAGGACCGACCGACTGCCTCGCACTTTGGCCGGCGAGGAGAACGTCTGATCCCGGGCTCCGACCCCTGCTGCCGCTGCCAAAAGAGGCGGAATACCTCTCGATCAACTGCCGCTGGCTCAACCAGACCAGCTCGGGCCAAGCTGTCCGAGCTGAAGTCCACGGGCAATCTCCCCGCAGGAGCGGATCGTCGCGTTCCTCTTGTGGTACATGGATTCTTCTTGAGATCGTCTGCGACCCGAATGGAAGAACCACTTCCTAGGAGATGGAGTGCACAGTTTTGGACGGGGTCATTCTCATCTGCGTATTGATCGCGACTCGATTTATTTTTTTAACGAGGTCAGAATCTCGACCCGATGCTCTTTCGAGAAGTTCCCCCTTAGTGGAAACACCAGAGTAGGCCGTTCGCTTTGCAAATCAGGGATCACCCGAGGACACGTTCGATTCCAGCTCTATATGGTTTTATAAATACTCATATCCAGAGCTAGAGGTCGCTCGCGTCGGGTTTGCCGAGTTGAGAAGATCATTCGGATGGATTGTTCGAGGCCTGGGTGTGTTCCCAGCTCAAGAGTTTGATTCGCTGGTTTATTGTACTCGCAATATCTTCCCTCGGAGGCAGGGGAGGAGCTGGGCTCGCAGGACGAGCTCACGTTCGAGTCGTGTGCTGGAATCAAGCAGTCGTCGGCGAGGAACTGCGGATTTATGTCACGGTATCGACAATGATTCGTTCGCCCTTGCCCTCCGATTCCTCTCATTCCCCTCCTTCGGAACCTCGTTGACAGCCTGAGCTTTGTGGGCAACCTCTACATCCGTATGCGGAGCAAGGCCACAGGCACTAGCTCATAGTTCTCGAAACGCTTTCCAGCTGTTCTCTGGAGTGTTTCCTTGGCGGTTTCAAAGACCTATCGACGGACGTGCACTGAGTCGGGAAGACTTTGCTCAAACTCCTTCTCTCTGTGTTCAGCTCCGTATTCGTTCTATGGACGGCCTCGAGATTCAATAACGTGGAATGTTCGATTATAGCGAGTTCGGCGAGGATGTGTAGCGAGCTCATTTATCACTGAATTTTTCTATCCGGCGAATGCGAGTTGGAGCGAACGGAGCTCGAGGAGAATAATGAGGGAGGGCACGCCGAAAGGCGCACTGAATTCAGACGCCTCTCCTGAAGAAATATTAGGCGCTCCGGAAGGAGAAAAGCCTCTCGGAAAACTATGGACTCCTAACATCAATGCTCTGAGACAAATTAATCAAGTCTGGTTTAGCCTCTACCAACGCCGGGCAGAAGTTTTGCGCGAGTCGACTCTCACGCGCGGAGGAGCGACGGTGGACAAGGAATGCAGATGTCCTCATGAACGATCGCTAAATCACGTTCCGAACAGACTGTGGGCTCGGAAGGAAAATCCCCTTTGTCGAGTATCGGCCCCGATTATTCGCATCATCTGTGAACGAAATTTTTTCATGGCGCTCATTTCCTGACGACGGAGGGAGCGAAAACACGGCCGCGCTTACCCTAGCAGATCTCTCATCGCAAGAAAGGGTCCGAGATGCGATTCCTTTCGGCCTCGCAGAAGCAGGGCCACGAGCAAGATTGTGATTCTTATTACCTGACATTGCGCTTACGGATTTTGGCTCAGCAAGATTCCAATAATTTCCTTTCTCACTTCGCAGAGTTCCCAGGTTTGTGTTCTTTGATTTTCGTCCCATTTTCCCCAAATCCCAATTCTATAATAGATTCCGATGAATTGACCGAACGCTTCCGAATCATTATTTGTCGATTCTCGTCCTGGTTCACTTATGCTCGTGAATTATATTTCATTTTCCTGTTTACCATTTGTCTCGTCAGTTTCCAAGTGGAGAAAGATCCAGAGGACAACAGTTTCACGGGGAGGAGCTTAAGTCTATTACGGCATTGCTGCGTGGGCTACTTGCATTCGCCGTTATGGATTCCCCATCTCGAGGCGCTCGGCTGCACGATCTGCTCGGGGACTCTCACGTAATGTTCACATCCCAAATCGGTAGCTTTATCATAAGAGCACGATTAGATCTTCTTGGCTCGGAACCGCCGGAAGATCAGATTCTACGTGGGTACTTCATGGATCATCGTCGTTGTGGGATAATCTCGGCCCGGCTTGCGAACTGTATCATTGGGTCACCGAACGGTTCGAGCATCCAACGTTAAAGAAATCTGACTGCACCGAAACAGTCCGGAACCCGATCGGAATCGGAGCAGCTGACGGAGCGGGTAGACGGGTGGGCTGGCGGGCGAGCAAGCGGTCTCACGCTCTGGCGATTTATCGGACGTTCCCTCCTAACGAGATACACCGACTTGTTGCGCGTCGATATACCCGCTCGTTGCTCCCGCTGCAACCGTCGCCGCAACTTGCGCTGTCACTGTTGTTGCTGCCTTCGTCAATGATGATATCATTACAGATTCGATCGGTTTGCTACGGGGATCACGGTGCATACTTTTTTTTGTTTGCTTGGTTCGCCCGCGGCCCAAATCTCTGGGTTACCCTACCGAGCGCATCGATCTCCGATCATTTCCAGCCTGGATTCGAGAGAGGAGCGAGCTCTGAGGGCGCGTCTGTAGATGGAAGTTTAACCAATCAGTGGGTTCGCCCGAATTCCCTGTCTCACAGTAATCACTTACAATTTTCCACAGAAGTCAAGCACCCCTGAACAAGGAGGGCCTTGTAAGCGAGGACTCAGAGCCGACGTTATCCAAGTTTGACATCGTGCTTAATTTTAACTTAGAGGTCATTGTCACCGAAGTTAAAGGATTAAAGTCTCTTGCACCCAACCGGATCGTCTACTGTACGATGGAAGTAGAGGTGAGTTCATTTTTGTGCCAATATTCTAAGACCCGCGCTCCTCGGGAGAGACATGTTCCTCCTTGGGATGTTCAATCTCTGACGTCAAGCCGTCACTTATACCGTCTTCATCCCGGATCCCTTCGGGTACCGCTGTCGGTGTGAGTCTCTCGGCCAGGCCGCGCCGGTTCGCTGAATCCCTCCGAGGTGGATGACTGTTCGCATCAGATGCTAAGTCGAGAGGAGCTTGACGTCAATTTTTTTTCCGCGAGTGTCAGAGGCCGTAATGAGATTGCAGTAGCAGCGGAGTCCTTCCCGTTTGCGCATTCCATCTCGCAAGCTGCTCCGAGAGTTCCCATGTAGCTCCGTCTGATGTGTCTTACCTTCCAAAGAGGCGCAAACTCTCCACGAGTTCCCATGTGCCTCTTTCCCGGAGGTCGTCGGAAATATAGAATTCCATCCACAGACACTCGGTCACGGCGAAAACGGGCGAATTCTCCGATTGAGACTTTGCTCTCATCGATATTTGATCGAGAACTGAAGCGGCCGTTCTATTTCAGGGCGGGGAAAAACTGCAAACGGACATGGCGGAAGCTGCCAAGCCCATGTGGGACACCCAGGGCGACTTCACCACTTCACACCCCTTCCCATTGTTAAGGTCAAGTTATACACTGAGAGCCCTGGATTGCTCTCTTTGGATGACAAGGAGTTAGGTGAGTGCTTCAACGTCACGTTCATCCAGAGGCTTCCGGGGCTAGACTCTGACCAAGAGCCTCATGGGACGCGGACGAGAGCATGACATCTCCAGATGTAGTCTGGAGTGTATGATGGTGGAGCCTTCTTCTTTTTTCGTGTTCTCCTCCTAATACTCTGACCAATACAGCAGCTGCAGCTGTCCCGACAACGACGAGGCGGAGACTATTTCTTCTTTATTATGAGGATTTGCGGTTTATGAGCACAGTCCCTGAACTCCTCTTTATATGGTCCGAGAGAAACGCTGCGGGGAGATTCGCTCCGAAGAGTCGGACATATCGACGGAGAGTAGCGATGCTCACCCGCTCATATTCCATGGCTAATCCATAAATTTTCGGAATTTAATAGGAAAAGTGCAAATTCGCCCGACGCCCATGGGTGGGAAATGTGGCGCCGACTGGTACCGGATGCAAGCCCCAAAGAACGCCCAAGATCAAGATCTCCAGATCCGGATTACGATACGTATGGAGAGGCCGCAGAACATGAAACACGCAGGCTACTTATTCGCGCAAGGAAGAAACGTCTGGAAAAAATGGAAGAAGCGATATTTTGTACTCGTCCAAGTTTCTCAGTACACTTTTGCCATGTGCTCCTTTCGAGAGAAGAGCTCGTCACCGAACGAACTGATGCAGTTGGATGGCTACACGGTGGACTACACTCCAGAGGAAGCGACGCCGCCCGGTGAAGGGGGAAGATTTTTCTTCAATGCGGTACGTGAAGGTGACGCAGTGGCTTTCGCCTCCGTGGAGGAGGCCGATTGCCACCTTTGGGTCCAAGCACTTTATCGTGCGACTGGTCAAGCCCATAAGCCAAGCCCACCCACGCATACCTCGCAGCCCCAAGCCACCCGCAACTCACAGATTTCGAGAATGCAAGGTGATACGGAACGGGCGCGTCGCCATGGCATGGAGGAGTTCATCTCGGCTGACCCCAACCGCTTCGACCACCACTCTCTGTTTCGACACCTGCAAACACTCACCCTGGACTACCGGCTGCAAGATCCGTACTGTTCGCTGGGTTGGTTCAGTCCGGGACAAATATTCGTCCTGGACGAATATACCGCTCGCTACATGGTGAGATCATGCTATCGTCACCTGTGCTACCTGAGCGACCTCTTAGATCGTGCCGAGAGAGGGGTCATGATCGACCCAACGCTCATCCACTACTCATTCGCCTTTTGTTCCTCGCATGTACATGGCAATAGGTGAGTGGAATTTAAGTAGCGCAGATATCCGGTCTGGAACAGACCAAAATACGTTAGGTAGAACAATATGTTCTACGGGGCCAATATACACGAAGCTGACAGCTCGAGTTCACGAGTGGAGTCATCACCATACATAAGTCGAGATAATTCGACCTGAAGTGGAGGGTTCACAGCTGCAACTGTCGCTTACTCGTGTCAGTGTGGAGCAACGTACCCGACCGAGCTTAGGTACCTCTCGAGCTCTTGATTGATACATTCACTTCGCTGTTTCGGAGCAAATATTATGTTCTCGCTGACGCGATCCGCGATTCGCGATCTCCATCAGACTTGAGTATGTAAGACAAAGCTGAGTATATCTCGGCTCCGATCGGAAATCCGCTTTGAATCCGTTCGAGGGACCGACGATTGATCCAGATCTTACCGACCTACCTAGCAGACGGATGATATCTGGCTGGAGGCGATTCCACCAGGAATCCTGATATTGTTTGCAGCTGTACATATGTTCTTGAACATCCTTCCGCTGAGCTGATTCACCGCTCCTGGAAGGCCTGCGTGGCGATGAAGCGCTAGTCTCATCAAGCATATGACACCCCTAAGGCTACGCTAGATTTGATTATGTTGACAGTTTCTCTTTGGTTCCATCATCAAAGAAGAATTGTGCCCAGTGCAAGCTTAGAGATACCAGCGGCAGGGTCAGCAAATACTGCGAGGCTTTTCTTGCACCCCACACGATGGACCCGCAAGAGATACGGCTTGCTCTCCTGACAACGGGTCGATCGGCTGCGCTGCCGGTCGACCTGTTGGTCTGCTCGGGCAGGAAAGAGAAATGAGAAAAACTCGAGGAAATTGGTTTCAAATACTCAGCGTTCCGTCGCACAACAAACTCGGGTCCTGTTCGGCTCAGCGTGAAGTGCTCGGGAAGCATCCCCGCTCGAATGACCCAGAGGTCATGGGAACTTCCGGCGTTATCCTCTGCAATCAGTTCTGCTCGGAGCTTCCTCACTTTCCCGCCATCGCCTGACGGTCCCCTTCTCCAGCTCCGTCCCCAACCTTGTCTTGTCGATCGATCGGTCGATCGATCAATTCAGTCTTTGAGTCACGGATGCTCCTTTCCCAATGTCTGATAATATCCTGTGATCGACTCCTTCCCCTGATAAGATATCTCCCATCCCCCTGCGTGCCCACGGCTCGCACTACGTTCTCAGTTATTCCTGATGTCGTTTCAATCACATCTCATCACTATACCGCCTCCTGATGCGAGAATCCCCGGAGACTCCGTCAGTATCGCATATGTCACCGATGAGAGGGAGATCCGTATAAGTCGGCGGTGTCACGAATCCAACCTTGACCCATGTCGAGGAGAATACGCTACGACTTGGTACATATACAGCCTACGTAGATCTTTATTGTTTGCTAGTCAATACCGAGTTGTTAACACCGTGTCGACGCCTTTTAGCGTTGCGCCTCCCGGGACGGTGGTTACTGATTTCAGGTAAGACACGAAATAGCCGCTCTCTCAGGTCATGCTGATAACGATCGTGATGATTGTTGTATGAGCGGCTGAATTTTGGAAGAATTCAATGTAGGTGCGAAAGACGCGTGAATGTTGGCGGCTTGAATGGTTGAAAGCGCGCATGAGCTGCTTCGCATGATCGCCACTGTGTCGCTCTTGGTCGACGGCTCCGGCAAATTCCTTACGCTATAACAACTTCCTGCTCTGGCCTGTTGCTGCATCATGTGAAAACAAAATCTGCAATCTGCCATCGACACGTTTTGACGGAGAGGATTCACCACGGATATGCTTCACCACTCTACAGACGACCGGAACCGTGCTGAAGCAATAATTGAATGGCGGTCAGCTGGCATTAGCTGTACCGCTTCCGTAAGACTTCTTTCAGTCGGAGGTTGAGGTTCTCTGGAGCGATTTCCGCTTTCTCCCAATCCGAGTCCGAGAGAGTCCTCAGTCTGAGGCAAGGCCTGAGGTACCTTGATTCTAGGTAGATGAGTGCTTTCATGGCTCCGTGTGTGCTGCTCGCTTCGGGATAACCTACTAAGATAGATGATAGACCGACAACGGAGCGAGGCGTGGCACTTCAGCCTCTAGCTCGGATTCCGAGCTGACTCCCGGGGCTCTAAACGGAGACGCATGCTTCTGAGGAAAGAATCTAAGAAGTATACCTAATATAATTAGGGATTGAAAGGAGCCGAGATTGGACTGTTTCCCTGGTTGCATTTGGAATTTCGTAATTCTTCCCAAAGCGAAATCTATGCTTAAGATTCCACTACAACGCGTCATCCAAAGACCTCGGAGCTTGATTCCTCAGTCATTTGGAAATTTCAACTCCATTCGCGAAGAACAGAACCGATTTTGAGTTCGCATCGATCAGAGAGGCGAGTCCCGACGGGGATAACCTTACAAGTGGCGATTCAGCTCTCGCACTGGAGCTCACATAGTCGCGTTTCCGCCCGAGAGGCCCACGAATGGTCACATGAGCCCGAATATGAGGAGCCGTGAGCCCCAATTCTTACACTTCAACAGCGGTTTTCGTCATCGAGGATCCGTGATACTCATTTCGCTTAGCAGGGGAAACTCGTTTGATTCCTTTCCGAGATCGATGGCAGTATTTTTCTCCCAGTCGGCCGTCTTATGAATCAATGCTGGGCTTGCGCGATGTTATGCCACATAGAGAGCCAGACGAATGAACAAGTGAGATCACTCGAGGCTCACAGACGAGGAACGGCGACGAGACTCCCCTGCATAGACTGCAGCAGAATTTCCAGCTGAATGAACAAGGAATCACACAGCAGCTCGTATTCCTTCAACTAGTTACTCGTACACACTCGGAATCTTGTTAGAGTTAGTTGCGCATCGATTCACTTGTTGCACCTGACCCGCTCTATTCTCTTGATGGATTTTGCGGATGATGCTGAGATGACGCTGAATTACTGCGGCTGGCTGGTTGAAGGGAGAAAGGGAAATGCTAGAATCCAGCCACAACGCATTGAGGCAGGCTCGCATCGCCGTCGTCGATGATGATAGCGATCGGGCGTTCGAACATCGAGTCACGAAAACTCCGGCCGATGACTCAAGAATATCAACGGAATCGTTTCTCTCAGGGAAGCAGTAATGGCAATTGAGGAAAAACCAGAACAGGCTGCGCCAAGCACCGAACCCGAATTCAAGTGAGTAGGCCCCTCACCCCGATGGTGGGGGTCGGCCAACTTGCATCGTGGACAGCACGTTCCAGAACGCTTTTAGTTCTTCTCCTTCTACTCTTACTACCACTACTACTACTTCTTCTACTGCATTCTCCGACTTCCACGACTACAACGACGATGCCCATGGCGGCGACGACAGCTCTCGCTACCGTTATCTCATTCGGAGCTTTCGTTCCGTCCTCGGATGACTGCTGATACATGCAATGAGCCATCAATTGATGATGATGATGACGATGGCGGCCTCAATCGCGAGTTCCTGAGAAGGTGCTGTTGTACGTCGTCGGCCTACCATGATGAGCATTCCAGTCATGCCGCATTGGTTCGATCCATAGTCGACCTCTCACGAATCTGGTGGTCTCGGTGCACCAGAGTTTGTATGATTCCGAGTTGACTCATGCTTCGGTAGACAACGATACTGCTCCCCATCCCATCTCCATGTTAAGCATCATAGAGCTATGATAACCTAAACTGTCGTAGTTGTTAGGCTCCTTGGCCTTCCCGTCCTCCGCATCATCTAGATACGGAGTTTCCTCCATGTCATTCGACCATAAACTTATTTCTCCATATTCCGTTTCCCTCCTTATTCCCGCTGCTTCCTCCTTCGGCTCTGCATAATTGACTCCGCGACCTGCATTGTTCATAATCAAGAAGACCATGTGTGCGATGGACTCGATCGGATGACGTCGAATGGACCTAAAACGGGGTTGAGTGTTCCTGCAATAATGTTTCGTGCGAGGGAAACCGTCTCTCGATATCTCACTCCATTTTTGCGACTCTCAATTCTCCATTCATTTCTATGCTAAACCTACTACGAAATATCAGTGTGGACTCACTGCTCTCTCAATCTGTGCCTGTCTCTGCGCTCACGATTCGAATCGATCTGATCAGCGATTATTATTTATCGACTGGAGCCTTCCAATCGATGCGCCACAGAGCGCCAAATCATTACAAGCTCGCGAGAACCGAGTCGGAGATTCGCTGCATATTCTCATTGTTGAGACAGATAAATACATATTTAAGATTGGCTTGTCGGTCGTAGGTTCATTGGTTAGCTGTAGGCTGTTGAGGAAAAAGGAACCTTGCCTATGAAATAGGGAGGCCGTTCTCAGAACACGGACTCGCAGCATGCACCATAAGAACTTGGTTTCTCTCTGTAGTAGGTGTAGACATAGCGAGCGAGCGAGCTATGTAGACTAGATGTAGGAGGCTGACAAGCTGTCATCGACCACCGTAAGAGCACCATACAGCATATGACTATTAAGCTGCCTCTAGCTCTTCGTGTTTTTTCATCACTCAGATTTTTCCTGTATGCCAATGACTGTAGCGTGATAGCGTGAAGGGACAAGTAGACCCAGAACAGCCTCGATAGCACGCCTATATCGGCTCCGAGTGGCTCAGATTTGACGCACTTACACCCGCGCGCGCTTGCTGCCTCCGGGGAGAGGGAGGGTCTCACTCCTGGCGGCTCGCTCCGTTAGGAACTCCACGGCCTTCAGGAAACGCTTCGAAAGTTACGAAATGGTGCCTGACTTGGACACGCTGTCTTGTGCGCGAAAGATCACCGTTGATTATACTACCACTGCTTTGGAAGCATTGTGGATTCATCGAGAAGGCGGGTTGTGCGTCCGGAGGGTGAGTCCGGGAGTTCCAGCGGAGGAGGTCTCGCTGCTTACGTGCAGCCATCGGAACTATTCGCGTGATCGAGCTCGGTGTCTTACGTCAATTCATACCTACCGCCAATACATCATCAGATCGTTGACGAGATTGCTAATGCCGTGATCGTCGTGGATCGTGCTGATAACGCTTCGCTTCAATCTGTGCTTCTTGTAGGCTTGCATTGTTCATCGTTTCCGTCAATAATTCGATTTCTACAGGTTCAATGGTTCTCCGTCACTTCATAGAATCATTTTACTTGGCCTTCAAAAACTTTATGGTATTCATCATGGTTGTCTAGTTTCATTTTGTGATGCAATGTCTGTCATTCACTGTCTCGTCATCTCAGGTGAAAAGCTGGTAGGGATCTTGTCTGGCGACCTGAAGTCTGGCTGGCAGTCCAGAGTGTTCTGAGCCCTCTGTATTCGAATTATTAGGGGGACGAGACGCATCGGGGTTCCTCGGTTCAAGACAACGAATCTCGGATGTCAACTTGGTCAGTCAAGAAAACGGGAGATATACCCGAGAGCTTTCCGGGCACATACTCCTCCTGCCGTCCCTTCTGCGTGGCCCGGGGGAAGACTCGGGAATCAACCATTGGGGACAACCAACCTCCAATATTCTAGATTTGGTGCTCGCTTGCTCCGACTCGCTGATTGAGAGTGTTCTGTCAACGGCATTGATGTTGAGATGCCGGGTGTTCTCTCGCACACAGTACCTCAGTCGATGGCGCCCCGCGTGATTCGCGTCCTCACGATAGATCCGAATGGAAATCATTTGAGACTTGATCGCGTAACGAGAACCGGAGTACTTCGACAAACAGTCCCAGGGTCTTCATTGACGCATCAGACGAGCACATCAGACGAAGGGGAATTGAATGAGGTGCCTATCTGCGAACTGAGGTGTACAATGGAAATATCGCATTAGTCTTGGGGAACCGAAGACAGCGATGATATTGTATGTCATTCTGAATGGCATACAGGCGGGAGTATGAGCAATCGAACCCGCGTGTCGACCCCTGTGTCAGTCAGCCGGTCAGGGGAGACGGTCGGATGAAAAAAGAGTTGCGAGCAAGCAGGTAGACACCAGCAGATGGGAGCTTTCCATTGAAGCCTCTTCTGCGGGAGCTATCCGTCAAACAGATCTGTTTCCTGCTCGATCCGAATTGACAGTTCGAGGACCTGATCCGAGCCTATGAGAAGCGAACCATGTCGGTTCTGAAGACAGGAGGGACCTACTGCGGCAGGGAACGTTCCTTCCCGGGTCGAGGGATCGGGAAAGACGCGAGCAAGGGGTGGGGACAGAGTCTTGAGGCAATGTATGCATCGTGTTGATGCGCAGAGATGCACGACAACCGGTTTGGCTTTGGATACGAATGCAAAACATTCATCCATTCTGTCACTAGCTTGGGCTCTTTCTAGTCGTTCGTGAGTGAACATATGGTCGAGCGAGTTCTAAGACTCTATCTTGCAGGCCCGATGGCATAGGAACTGTCACAGTCGAGGAGAAGGACCTGTTCAACAACATTAAGGACAGACTCAAAATCCTCCTCGAGCACCAGATTACACACTTCAGGTTGGTCTTATTCGCAGCAGGTCCCCAAGTTCTGCTGCCGCTCGCGACGCGTAACCATTCGTTCGCTCAGCCTCGTCGAGAGTGGAGGGATGCCGAGAGTTGGCAACGACTCCTAGGATTCAGCTTGCTCCTCGAGCAGTATCCGGGAAAGCAACGGATTACGACCGGGCGGCGCCGATGACTGATGTGGCTGACGTGTTATATATTTCCAAGGGAGAAGTTTTTCATGACCTAGGAGTTCGATCGCAGTACTGCTTATAAGGCGATCACGAATTTCCTCAAAATATTCAGTCTCATCTGGAACAGCGAATGCGAATTCCGGATGAAACTCACCCGGGGAGAACATCCATTGGTTGAGGGAAGGAATTAGTCGAGCCCGTGGTTGTGAGAATTCATATTGTTTTCATCAATTATTTGTCATTCATAATTATCTTTATTATTATTCAGAATTAGGTTTTGAAATCTCTCATTCTTCTCCTGAAGAAAAAAAAGGGAAAGGAGTATGGATCAATGAATAATGGAAAAAAATTGGAAATGCTGGAAACCACGGGCTCGTATAATTGCCTATACCCGTAAATGACGTCTCCCTCCCTTCCCGATAGGTACTGCTTCCCGTTCGGACGTCCTGAGGGCTCTTTGAAGGCGGCGCTCTCTCTGCTGGAACGTGTCCTGATGCGGGATGTTATGACGCCCGCACCGCCCGAGGAAGTTCGTGGAATCATTAAGAAGTGCCTCGAAAGCGCCGCCCTGGTAAACTACACCCGAATTTCGGAGCAGGCGCGATCCACGCCCAAGAGCGACGGGTCTGGGCATGACTCGTCGCTCCGATCACATGATGAATGTGAGTTTTGAAACCTTTCCTCGCGCTCCCATCTATTCTCGGCTCACCCGCGAGGCCCCGGTTCGGCTGGGGGAATTATTTAGAGAGATCAGAACAGGATTTTGATCCGGTTCTCCGACTCACCCTGGTTGTCGCTCCGCAACCTCGTTTCAGATGCTATAATGGACTCAGGCCAAGCTCCCAGCAAGAGGTTGGAGGACCTGATTCATCTGGCAGAGCTGTGCGTCGACCTTCTGCAGCAGAATAATGAGCACTACGCTGAGGTAATGCCGAAGGCTTCAGCGAAGAGCCTCCACTGTCGTGTTTTGAGTTCGATATCTGACGCAGGTAGAAAAACAGCCGATGGACAGGCTGGCTGGCAGCCGGCGGGCAGTAAAGATCGCATGAGATTGGCTTCACTAGATGATGAGGGTTGCGACATCTTCGGATTTTTCTGAGAAAGTCCCGCATAAATGTTGCGGACTCCATCAGGATGAAATCATAGTTGACTTCTCCCGCTATTATCGATAAACACTGAGACCTCTCGATTTCTTAGAAACAAGAAGAGAATTAATAATTGACTTGCATTGCTCATCATCGCGGATGTGGACGTCGCAGCCTGAAACAACGTTGGCTTCGGGTGTGGGCTGCTTCTGGGTGCTTGCTGGGTGGTATTGCGCTTGAATCAAGTATTGATCATTCGTATTTGGAAATCTAACCGATTTTATGATTCCTTCGGTTCTTGCTCTCCATTGAATTGACGGATTTGATGTTGCCTTCGTTGTTCGGAATCCCTCGCTTTCGATGTTCAATACAACTACCACTATTCCCTTTGCTACCAACTTTGGGCAACCACCTCCGCCCCTTTGTGGTTCCCGTTGCTACTGATTTCTCCTTACCACAGACTTTCCGTTCGGTGAGTGCTTCTTCAAGTGATCGAAAAACTTCAACTTCTTCGGCTTCTCGAAAAAACGCGGTAATCAACGACCACAAGAGACTGATATTGTTGTTGTTCGTACCTCAGTCGTCGAGCACAAAGTGCGATCTACTTTCCTCTCCATCGTGAACACTTTTCCGCACAGTAGATCTCAGTCAGCATAATTCTTCGAATCTCTTGGGCGTCTTCGTGGAATCATGGACTCCACGTCGTGGATATTCTCGGGTTCCACCTCCCATTGCGTTCTCACGTTCCCAGACATGCTCTCCTGTAGTCATCGGGTCTACCCATCCACGACATATGTATTTCGGTTAATGGGGCGATTTTGTTTAATCGGCGATGGCCGTGTCTTAGAGGTCGTCGTATCTGAGTTGATTTATGTATTTTGTTTCTGCTAGCAAGTGAAGACCATCCGATTGCGATTCTCGTGAATCTCTCTGCGTCAATTTAGGGTTCTCTCGAATATCCAGAGTCTGTCACGATGTTCGAGTTCCGATCTCGATGGTTCAGATCCGTAACTCCCGAACGCTTGTCACTTTCGTTCCTTCCGTGAATCCTCGGTCCGCAAGGGAGATATTCACCTCCCCTCCCTGTCAGTCGAGCTCGTATCCGTGGTCAATGTTGATAAAATCGCATCAGCCGCAAGAGTGCACGTCAGAATCACCTTGTAAATTCCTATCCTCTCGTTCCCTTCCACAAACCAACCAACCATCAATCCAACCATCCAACTACTATTCTTCGAAATGCCCAATCTGAACACCGACCAAACAACAAACCCAAAACTGTTTCCGCTTCGGACGTCGTTCTCTCAACAGGACCGGGTGAGTTTTTGCGTCAGTCGAGTCAACCGACAGGGAACGCACAAAAACTAACGAAACCGAGCGCCGCGGAGAGACTCACTCACGAAAAACTCACCGACCGTAACCACCTCTCAACCTCCAATACCTATACTTGTTCCGAAGCTGCATGACCCCCATCACACCCCTCCCGATCGGGTGTCAACAATCCAATGTTCAAATAGTGAAAACCCCGAGCTGTATTCGTTGTTGTTGGTGTTTTTGAAGTTGTTGCTGTTGATGTTGTTCTCGTCTAACTGTTGCGGTTGTGGTCTTCGGTGCCAGTGATCGCCGATATCAATGTGGATATTGTTGTTGTCGTTGCTGTTTCTATCGATGTCCCTGATTTTATTGTGGGTGTCGTTCTTGTCGTCGCCGTCGCTGTCTCTCCTGTTAATTATTCTTGTAGCCTCTCATTAGCAGTGGGAATCAATCTGGTCGGGTTGATCTAACTCGGTCGTTTCCCAACACCTTTTTCACAGGCATTCGCGTGGTTCAGTGATCTATTGGTAGAACACGCCGAGATTTTCTGGTCCTTATTTGCCGTGGATATGGATGTAGTGTTGGAGGACCAACCCACTGATACCTGGGACTCTTTCCCCCTCTTCCAGGTGAGTTCTAATCTTTTTATAGCCAGGTAATACAGTTCTGATCGGAGTACGACAGGATGAGCTGCTGGTGGATGAAGAGCGCCATGGCGATTTAGGGAGGAAAGGATGCAGGTTTTCGCTCAGATGATTCACAGAGTGCGATGGTGTCAATAATTTCCTATCCCCCAAACAATTATTGTGTAAAACTCTCCTATTCATATCTCCCGCCTTTGTGTACTTGTGAACGATCTCACTCTCTCTTGGAGAGACACCACATGCACATTTTCAATAAAGCATTCGAGTGAAAGTCGCGCTCAATGCAGGTCGAATCACGAACGATCGAGTTCTCAATCTTGCGCGTCAAACTTGTGCTCCGAGTTTAAAAGTCCCTCAGTGCTCGAATTCGGCAAGCATCATCTATTTCGACAATTTGGTGCAAGTGACCAGGATTAACCCGTTTCGATCATCCGAATGCCTGTGGGACACTCGCCGAACCAAGACGACCGCTTGCTGCGGCACGTTGGGGCAGATCGCGTGCCTCAAGAGCCCGCTCAGGATCTCG